AAAAAAATTTATTTTTCTACTAGTTTATTCTGGAAGCAGGAGCGGCATCCACTTCTGAAATGGCTTGCCTCCGGAAACTCTATGTATGAACAGTGCTCAGGCCTTTCTTTCATAGGATCGCTATGAGTCGTCTACGACTCGACGGCACCTAACAACAACAACAACAACAACAACAACTAGTTTCTTTACAAAAACAAAATTCAAATACAAATTTTAACACATTCTTTCACTTTCCCTCACCCACCCCAAGTTTGAGTATCTTTTCATTTTCACTGCCGTGTGTTGGTTCCAACGCTTGGTGACCCTCCCTCAGTTTACAGAGCTTTAAATTGCAGCAGGAGGAGATTGTCCATCTTTTAGGCTCAGAGCCGGGGGTGGATTCAGTCCTCTAGAGGTGCACAGCGTTTGGGTTACCAGCACGACTTGCTGGACCTCATACCACCGGAGTTCCCTGCAATTGCATGGTGGGTATTGAAAGGAATGCTTAATAATTTATAGAACAAAAGGTTTTAAATGGTTGAATAAAAAATGAAGTTGCTTTGCCAACCTTCACTCAAATGGTGATAAGAAGTTGTTAAGTATAGAATATATGCAACATGAAAATAAAATATTTACAGCTTTGGAAAATGCAGGGACGTTCAGCTGTGCCTAAGGTGGTTATGTGACAGAATTACCCCAAGAGCCGTGAGATTAGGGGCTTTATTTGTTCTTGTTCTTTTTTTAGGGTGGAGTCAAAGGATAGACTTCTTTTTCCAAAAGGGAAGGAAAAAAACCACAAACCAACACACTGAAGCTACTTAAATTCCCACCAGCACTGTTGGGCCGACTCTTACTTTTCTATACAATCATATAACTTCAAAGGCTACAAAATATTCCACTGATATCTATTTTGACATTAAGGATTTGTCTCTGGAATTCCCCCCTGCCTCCCATTCCTTCTATTCATAATTAACACATTGCCACACACTTTTAAATTGATGACCGTGCTTAGAAACACATTTTTTTCAATTGTTTATGACTGCCATATGAAATTGTATTTCTTGTTTCAGAATGTTTGTTCTTGTTGTTGTTCTGTGCCGTCGAGTCGTTTGTGACTCATAGCGACCCTATGTACAACAGCTCCAAACCCTGCTCTATCCTGTGCCAGTCGCATTGCCTCTGACACACCCATCCCGATTACCCCAGTCACTGAATCAATCCACCTCATAGAGGGCCTTCCCCTCCTGCGCTGTCCCTCTACCCTACTAAGCATGATGTCCCTCTCCAAGGACCTGTCTCTCCTTACAACATGTCCAAAGTATGTCAGATGAAGCCCCAGAATCCTTGCCTCCAAGGAGTAGCCTGGTTTAACCCTTTCTAGGATGAATCTGTTTGTTTTCTTGGCAGTCCATGGTACATTCAATACTCTTTTCCAGCACCACAGCTCAAAGGCGTCAATTCTCCTTCTATCCTCCCTAGTCATTGTCCAACTCTCTGATGCACAACAAGTGATTGCAAAAACCATGGCCTGCTTAGTTTCAAATAAATGCTTTCCATATTTGTTTGTGCAACCAACAAGTGTCTCAACTCTATTTCTTCAGAACAGCTGATCAAAACTGTCCTTTACGCTAGAATATTCATCAGCATTCATTTTAATGCATTAAAATGTGCAGGACGGCTGTAGCTGTCATTCGTGGCAACATGTTAATACATTTGAAGGCCCTGGTGGCGCAATGTTAGGGAGTTGCCCTCCAAACCCACGGAGGTGATGTCTCTCTGGCAGATCAAATCCACCAGCAGCTCTACAGTGGAAAGATGGCCATTCTTTTCCCTTACAGACTCTGAAATCTCAATAGAGGGTCCGCTTGAAGTCAGGTCCGATGTCACAGCAATGGAAAAGAGAGAAAGGTCATATCATGCTGTTTTCTTTGCAATAGTTTCCTTCTTTTACCTTTTTTTAAAAACTGTGGTGAAAAGATGCACAACAAAACACAGACTAATTCAAGAATTACCTACATGTTTAATTTTACTTAAGAAATAGCATAATAGGGGAGGGGAAGGAAGAGGAGAAAAGAAAATGTGCAACAATGGAAAAAAATAATAAAGATTTTTT